TCACACCTAGCCTAACTATATGAAATGAAAATGTACAAAAATGTAGTCAGTAATTTTTAAAATTGTAAGAAATAAAAATGAGAAACATTAGAAATGTAACTTAGGTTAGTATTCAGTAAAAAATTACACTTAAGTACAAACCCCCCAAAACAATATTTAATTTCAGTAACGTTAGTGAAATAAAATTAAATAACTCTTTACACCCATGCATAAAACGATCGCAAGACATTACATGGTAACAGTTACATGACCCGTTCCTGCTCACCTGCTCCCTGGTTGTCTGTTTAATAGCACTGACCCTAAATAACGTGAATATAATGTTGGCTACTTCAGAAAACAGAAAATAAGCACATCTAAAAAAATCTCTTACTTACCTTTATGAAAATGTCGAGGGTAAACGAACATAACCGGAGATATGTTGGCAAATATGATGATTTTGCATATCACCGCTGCAAGCCAGGCCATCTTGACGAGGCGACGCCTCTTGTTGTTTAGTCTTTTTATCAAGTGCGAGACCTAAAATATCTTTCTTCGTGGTGAGTTTTTGACCTTTTCTATCATGTAATTCACTATTGCAGACTTTAACACAAGAACGTTTTAAATCAAATGAAAAAGATAATTCTCCAACTACAGAACACCTCGGCTTTGTTACCTTACAAATGGCGGCGATACCCAAAATGCACTTCGATTCTCGTGAGTGTGACTTCACCTGACAAAGACCGATTCACTTATCTGGCTCTCGTTACCGCAGCGCACAGTGCTGTTTTCTGCAACAAATCTGTTAATATGGGCATATCCATACTCAACAACACCGGATATGGTAAGTTAGCCACAACTCCAACTTTCATCAAAAATGGCTGCTTACTAACCTCAATGTACACTTCTGCCATTGGTATGTCTGACCGATCTCCATGTACACAACAAACGGACACCTTTTTTCCCATCCATGTATCTCTATGTACATACTGGCTCTGTACTAGTGTCTGCACACAACCGGTATCAGCAAGTGCCATTACAGGTTTACCATTCAGTAACACTTCAATAATGGGCTCTTTACTAATGGAGGCAGACATACTTGAAGTAGGTAAGTAACACAAATGAGCGGGTTTGGGTTTTCTAACTGGGCAATGAGGACTAGTATGGCCCGGCTCTGCGTAATTATAGCAAACAACATAGTCTTTGTCTACTGACTGATGCATTAACACAGAAGGTCTGGGATTAGCGTGGGTGGGCTTAATAATCTGCGTTTGCTGTTGCGAGTACGTACTACCCCCCGTGCTTTGCAGAATGCCAGCATAGCGAAGGGGTGTCGAAGAACCTTTCCTTGCCACGAGGTATGACTCAACCAGCTGAGCTGCCGGATTCCTCTCTTTAACCCATGTGTGAATTTTCAGGAACAACACTCTCATATACTGCTCCAGCATCAAAGTCTCCATTAATTCCTTCTTTGTCACCATCTCCAGCCGAACACACTTTGAAAATAAGTCTCGAGTCGACCGTACAATTCTATCGGCGACTCGTTCGCTGGAGTATTCAAAGCACGGAACTTAATTCTATAAGTCTCCAGTATTCACTTCATATTTCTTTAAAAGTATTTCTTTCAGCTAGTCATAATCCATGTTAGTATCAGGCGCCTTAGCAACAAATGCGGCTCGGGCTTTCCCCGTTAGCAATGGAACGAGATGAACTGCCCAGTCTGCCTTTGGCCACAGATAGGATTCAGCTAGTTGCTCAAACGTGGTTAGATACTGCTATGTCGTCATCGGTCGCCATGATTTTGCCAAGTAAGACATGTTCCTGGATCAACATTACTGTCCAAAAATATAGATTAACCCAATCCCTAACCCTAAAACTAACCCTACCCATAATTTATCCTAAAATCAGTGTGAAATGATAGCTGATTAACAAGGGTGTAGAAGCACCTAACCCTGATCGTAAGCCTAAAACAGATATTTCCTGAAAAGTTATCCCTCAATTCTGATTGGTTGATTGGAATGTTGTTCCAGGATCAACAAGGATGTTGATCCAGGAACATGTTGTACTTGGTGAAATCACGGTCACCTTGTAAATACAGTGAGGAAAAATACAGTAGCCAAGGTGAGCTGACTGATGTTATCAAGTACGCTGCTGTTTGCAGAATTACCGGACCTGCGTCGTCCCGTCCGCGGGAGTTCACACTCCTGAGTCGAACTCGCGAAGTCCGAACTACTGAGGATGCAAGTCCGAAATTTGCGTACTTGGTATTGAAACGCGCACAGACCTACATCACCAGACTATTTGCCTATTCTTCTCTGTGAATAGGAAAACGCTGACCTCATATGTCATTCGCCCGGAGCTGCTTCCGTGTCCAACAGTGAGCGCAAGCTAGATTAAAGTGATTATTACGTTTTAAATATGGTTATTTTCCTACAGGAGGCCTTTGTTCACAACCCAGAGCTGTGAGAGACACTTTTTTTAAATGGATGGGCGCTTTTTATTTCACTTCTTTTGAACTGAAGCACTGCAACACCCGCTGACTGCAATGATAGAGCTTGGAATAGCCAGGACAATTTTTTATATAACTCCCGACTGGATTCGTCTGAAAGAAGAAAGTCATATACACCTAGGATGCCTCGGGGGTGAATAAAATTTTCATTTTTGGGAGAACCCTTCAAGGCCAGGTTTTGCTGTAGCCCTAGTCCAAACAGTGGAAACGCAGCTTGATTTTGGGCTTGCGGCTTGAGGTGCAAGGCTATTGGCCCGCCCAACAGTGGAAAAGCAGCTCATGAGGATCAGGTCGTCACAGGTGCCATGGTGGCAGACGGTGACAAACTCTTCCACATAATCCTCCAGGTTCCTGCCATCTTTAAAAATACCAACATTAATGAAGGTGATCTCCATCTTCCTTTTCATGGTCGGGAACATTTTCAGTCCAATGAAGATGAAGGCAGAAGAAGATTATAAAGTAAACTCATTTATTAAAAGTAAACTCATGAAATCCAATAGAAAATAACAACAATACATGTAGAACACCATACTATTTTGTAAGTCTCCCTTATCCTTATCTGACACACTCAATTCAGGTCTTGAAGTGTGATGGCAGAATAAATTTTACACATGACGCCTCAAATGACTCTTAAAGTTTCCTTTAACTCCAAAACTCTTTCCACAATGATGGCAGGTGAACGGTTTCTCTCCAGAGTGAACTCTCATGTGACACTGAAGGTTTACTTTAATGGCGAAACTCTTTCCACACTGTTTGCAGGTGAAAGGTTTCTCTCCAGTGTGAATTCTAATGTGATTCTTAAGGAGATATTGCTTTGAGAAACTCTTTCCACAGTGATGGCACATGTTGGGCTCCTCTCCAGTGTGACTCGTTACATGAATCTTAAGATCATTTCTTTCTGTAAAACTCCTTCCACACTGATGACATATAAAACAGTTTTCCCTCGAGTGAATAGTCATGTGGTAACTAAGAGTTGGTTTAAATCGGAAACTCTTTCCACACTGATCACATATAAAGGGCTTCTCTCCAGTGTGAATTCTCATGTGACTGTTATGATTTCCTTTGCATGAGAAACTCTTCCCACACACTTTGCAGCTGTAAGGTCTCACTCCTGTGTGAAGAGTCATGTGGGTATTAAGGTCTCCTTTACGTGTGAACCTCTTTCCACACTGATCACATGTGAACGACTTCTCTCCAGTGTGAACTTTCAAGTGAGAGTTCAGATGTGCTTCTTGTGAGAAGCTCTTTCCACACTGTTTGCAGGTGAAAGGCCTCTCTTTTGTGTGAACTCTCATGTGAGTCGTAAGGTATTTCTTTAATTTGAAAGTCTTTCCACACTGCTGGCACATGAAAGGTCTCTCTGCGGAGTGAATTATTGCATGCATTTTAAGGCATTTCGTGCCTGAGAAACTCTTTCCACACTGATCACATATAAACATCTTCTCTCCAGCGTGAACAGTCTTGTGGATTTCAAGGTTTTGTTTTCGTGTTCGATTAGAACTGTTAGGTTTGGTCTTCTGAGCTCTTTTTCGTGAGGAAATCTTTTCAGTCTGTATGGGTTTTTCACCCGTCATGAAATCATGGAGCATCTCACACTGATTTTTCTCTTCAACTTCATTGAGTTCTTGACTTTTAATTTTCAGTGCCATCGAGTCTAAGGTGAAAAAAAGACAAATAAAAATTAACCCCAGTGTCACAATTTCACCCGTGAAATTTCACATGCAGTCTTGATGAACGGCCGTGAACAGATTTGGCTGTGTCAGTGTGTAAGCATTGGACAAGAGGGGAGCTTCATTGGCTCTGACAAAATAAGATGCTGTGGCAATGGAGAAAGTAAAGTTTAAGAAAGGAGACAAGTAGTCTTGGAGGGAATAAAGTTTCAACTACATTAAAGTAAATGATTCAAACTAATTTACTGCGTAAATCATTGTTTTGTCTATTGAATAAATACACCAAGGCCCCGTCTATACCTGGAATTAAGAAGATTGAATGACAAGTAGATGAAAGTTGACAAGTTGAGAAAAATATGAAATTGATAAAATGTGTCAAGAATCCATACAACTGCAGCAGTGGAGGACTATTATTCTGCTGCGTGATACTGCAGAAGAACTGATGACGGCACGGTTTGATCTTGTGTTTAAAGGGGTGTTTAATTCCCGCCCACATGTAGAAATCGAATATTCCAGCTGTTTATTCATTTTTTCACCCATGAACGAAAAACGAAAATTTAAGCTGAATTCTTGTTTTTCGTTTTATGGATAAAAACGAAAAAACAAAAAAGGAGCCGTTTTCTCATTTTTCTACTTTCAATATTAAATAAAAAAACGAATGATCGAATGATACACGGATTTCCAAGCAACACTGGCGTTTTTGTTACTGAATGATTCAGCTGTTTGAAGGAATCGGTTGAATAAATAAGTGACTTACCGCCACCTACTGTCGGTTTAGTCTCATGCTTAAAAGTATGCATTTTCCCCCAACATTTCTTATTTGTATGTTCAAAATTTTATTTACAACATTAATCCCATAACATTATTTATTGCTGTAGTAATTTTGTAATTATTTAATTTGATTGGTAACAGCCCTGTAGTGTATTAAATTTCTTGATCAATTGTAAGAATTTGACTTAAAAGATGACGCATACATTTAATAAGGTAAAAAAAAAAATATTGGCCTTTATAAATGTGAATGACATCCTGTGGTAAATATTAAAAACATGCAGATTTAAGTATGTAAAAGCTGACAGAAAACTGATGAAAATATTGCTTCAGAATAAAGCTCGGTGATGCGACACTTTTGTTTTGTGGGAATATTTTGTATGGGATATTGTCTGCGGATATGAAAAGTTCTCTGTATATCGTAATAGCAAATTAAATTTTTTACAGCGATGATATTTTGTTTTGTTTTGTTTTTACATTTAAACACGTTAAATATTACATATACGTATGTAATATAATGTGTATTTCCATCACAGGCTTGGTCTTAAATTTCACATAAGGTGGTATTAAAAAGGTCTTAAAAAGTCTTAAATTTAACTTGTTCATATCTGTAGACGCCATGGTAATAGCTTTGTAGAAATAAACCCCACATAACTATAATTCCTTTACTTTTTTTTAAAATGCATGTATATTTCTTACTTACAATGTTAATTTATTAAAATTACAAAACACAAGAGTTTTGAGTCTATCTACCTTGAATGGCCAAAGCGGTCAAATTGACCTTTCGCATTACTAACGGCGTATAATTTCTGCTTTTGCTACTTTTTTTCATGTTTGAAGATGTGCATCTCTGTTGCCTAGCAACTTTTGTTATAGTTGTTTTTATATTCTATTGCTAAGCTAAAATTTCCGTTCATAAAATAAGCCGAGTGAACACCTCCAATTCGACAAATGAAAGCAAGTAATATGATTATGACGATATATTTTCTATATGTGTTTTGTATGCAGCTCATGGTATTTTTGTAGCAATAAAGGTTGTTTATGACAAATATTAGCAGTGTAGCGTTATTAAACATACAGAGAGTGCATGTGTCTGTTTATTAATCAAAATCAACTATAGATCACAATCGGAAGTTATTACAAGCACTTGATGATGGTTTAAAGTGGGTAAGAAAATACATTTTCAAGTGTAGCTTGATGATAATTGTACTTCTAATTATATTTTAGGATGTAGCCTATTCTTGTAAGCATTATACATAGTTTGTGTGTCTGGTGTAGAACCGAACTTTGTTTATCTTAATTTAATGCTGTTTATTGAGCAGCGGACAATGTTAAATCCATTTACGAGATACATATCTGAGGAAAAATGCATTGCTGGTTGGCGCCACCTAGCGTGCAGGCGTGAATTAGCAGAAGGCAAACAATCGTTTAGTGCTCAATGTAAAAGAATTTCTCTCTGTGTGAGTGTGTGTCCGTCCGTCCGTCCGTGAGTTCACGTGCTGAGATGAGGAAACACCTCCCCACTTATATTTGAAAAAGCAACATACGCCGAGCATCTTCCCTTGTAATGACATGCAGTAAGCCTTTCTAAACCCGTTGTATTATAACTTGTTTTTACTTCACAACATTAGTCGAGTGTTTGAAATAACTTCTTTTTGTGATCTGACGTGGCTTCTTATCACAGAATGAGGCAGAAAATATATTATATGCTATAATAAAGGCTATGTGATTAAAAATGGTTTACAAACATACTTAATCATGAAAATACTGATTCAAAAGTCTTTGATCTTTCAAGCTGTTTCATGGCACTCAGCGGGTGTTGCATGCATCAGTCCAAAAGAAGTTAAATAAAAAGCGCCCATCCATAAAAATAATATAAAGTGTCTCACACGGCTTCGGGGGGTAAACAAAGGCCTCCTGTAGTGAATCAATGCGTTTTTGTAAGAAAATTATCCATATTCAAAGCATAATAATCACTTTAATGTAGCTTGTGCCAACAGTTGTACACGGACGCAGTTCCGGGAGCATGACGTATGAGTTCAGCGCTGCGCATGCGCCGGTGAGTCTCGTGAAAACCAATGTTTGTTTACAGGATCAAAGGAAGCAAAGCCTCTTGGCTTATATCGAAAACTCAAATCCTCGTTTTGTACTTCTAATTCTTGATCGTTGTTTTGTTTTGATCTCTCCGCTGCACTTCCGCGTGCGTCATTTCTGAGCGGCGCATGCGCAAAGCTGAACTCATACGTCAGCCGCCCGGAGCTGCGTCCGTGTACAACTGTTGGCGCAAGCTAGATTAAAGTGATTATTACGTTTTGAATATGGATATTTTTCTTACAAAAATGCATCGATTCGCTACAGGAGGTCTTTGTTCACCCCCCGAAGCCGTGTAAGATACTTTCTTTTTTTTTATGGATGGGCGCAAACTTCTTTTGGACTGAGTCAGCGCACTAGTGAGGGAGTCAGCGCACTAGTTCTGTAGTCATCTCCTTAGTTCAGTAGTCAACGCACTAGTTCAGTAGTCAGCGCACTAGTGAGGGAGTCAGCGCAC